CCTTAACACCAAGAGGAAAATAGCCAAAAGGTAATTCCATTAATTCGTTGAAATCTGCCTCTTCAAGGATTACATCATCTTCATTCCTTGAAGAGGAGGAGCCAGGGAAAAACTTCTGGACTTTCCTTACATCTCCGTCTAAGTTAGGGGAATCCTTAGTTACTAACCCTGAGACTCTGTCAATAGACAGTGGGGTTAAGGCTAAGGATTTAACTACCCTATTAAGCTTATCATACATACTCAATTCAGGCTCATCACTTTGAGGTTAGATTTGTTGCGACACTCTTGGTCGCCAATAGGGTGAATCTAAGTGAGATCAGATCAAACATATAGGAGGATTGCGTATTTTTATAGGTCAAAAGCATTTTTCGCATCTTCTAAGAGGCTTGCGTACACGAACTCCAGAACTGCTTATGTCGTTTAAACCTCCTTTTGAAGTTCATTAAATAACAGAATACCACTTATGATTTCAAGTTCGTGAATAACATTGGCCGGTATTCTCTCTTTTCATTTTCAATGGGAAGGGCGTACCCTTGCACAAAACGAGTAGGGATAGTGACAGTTCTTGTCGGAGCCAACGGGCTTACTTGGGGTCGTTAGTTCTTTGTGCGTCTTGGTTCTAGCCAGTTATTTGTGCTTACTTTGAGTCTGTAACATTCTCATTATGGGTCAGAGGACTAAAACACTTGAACAGAACTAAAAGGACGGGCTGCGAGGCTTATTAAATGTGATTATCAATATATTAATTCGCAGCGCTGTTCTTCATGTCCTTGACCTTTAGATTGGTTAACTGCAGCAACAAGGTGAAAGACGGCACACGAAAACTTAGGCAACATTTGGCTCAATGCGGGACAATTTGAGCTAGAACGTATTGAACTTTAGTAGCCAATCGTGTATTAATACACTTCGATATAAAGAACATGGGACGTATGAGGCTTCTGATTTCAATGCGCAATAAACTAAAATGGGCTTTCAATTCTAGTGCAGTATTGACTGCTGGATTGTACTTCTGCTGGCATTTTCACAAGCAGAAAGATGGACATGGAGATTTAGGAAAATAATCAGTATATTAGACGAGATACTCAATCAAGATTTTATATATTTAGATAGGATTTAATAGTTTTAATCACGTCAATTATTATCAGCGTTTTGCTTACCGGCTTTCTTTCTGAAAAGGCACATTATAGAAAATTTCAGTTCAATAAAATTTCTGGATTAAATTGCTTTAGTAAGATATACAGAACGCATTGTAGGTAAGTAACCTATACACTTATTTTAATATACAGTAGGCTTTGTGCTTTTACTATTTTTAGATCTTTTTCTTATCCAACATTAGTGGTCGGGGGAGCCATATTGTAAGATATTCGCTTACATTGAAACCTTTTGATTTTCTACTGAGTTTTCCGTGTCCTAATGTGATCTCGTACGCCTGCATGCTAATATAGAATTAAATTTTGGTGACTAAAAATCTCATGGGACCAATTCGACCAACTTTTAAATAATGTGAAATATTTAGTTAACCTTGATGCTATGTGGTGCAAAACATTAAGGTAGAAATAACGTGAAAAGAGGAGGGAAGGGAGCCAAAGGATTTGCCATACATATCAAGAATACTTTTATTTATGATTCTGATCCACTCAATTTAATACTGTTTTAATAGATATGATTTTATAATAAGCCAATTTAATTTTAAATATTGATCATCGATGATAATAAAATAAAATATGGTTATGTAAAACACACACTTTTTTTAGCGGTTATAATATGTATATTCAGTCAAGCATAGTACACGTAACTATGTAGTTTTAATTTTATTTTTTTTAGAAATATTTGACATAATATATCCCTTTATACGGGAGATCGTTATGACTTTATAATATCTTATTTATATATCTAACATTTAAAATTTTCATATTACATGCATACCATTTTATATTATTTTAATATTAAATATACCAATTATATTTATATATTTATTTATACCCAAAACTTTATTTTTAATCTAGTAGGATGAAAACTGAAGGTTATGCCGCTAAATCTGAAAGACAAAAAATTAATTAGGCCGAGAAGAACAGAAGTTTATATGCTTGAATTGGGCTGGGCTTTATGAGAATTTTAACACGCAACTCAAGGCTTTCTTATTTTCGGGTTTCTGCAATATGTAAAAAAAAACAGGTAAAAGATCAGTTAGGTCGAGAAATCGAAGATGGACAAAGCAAGAGAAGCCTTGACCGTGGGAGAAGAGGACTCGCGTGTTCTCACTAAGCTGGAAGTTCGCCCCCACCGCGCCGGTGATGACGCCAGTTTCTACGAAGGTTTCGCTCTCCGAGGACTACGTGTCGAAACCATCAGTCCAGGCTACCTCTCCTGCTCCTTCAAAGTTCCTCCTCGCCTCACCGTGAGTTACTGTTATCACGGACATAGAAAACCCCCCTCGTCTTTTGTGTTTCAGCCTAGTTATTCCTCCCTTTCGTCCCCGGCCTTTTCGTAACCCTAAACCTCATGATGCTATTAGTATATAAATCCCGATTGGATGCAGGACAGGAATGGGAACATGTCGTTAGGGGCTATCGCTAATTTGGTTGATGAGGTGGGAGGGGCAGCCATGCATGCTGACGGCCATCACATGAAGGTCTCTGTCGACATATCCATCTCTTTTCTCGCCAACGCTAAGCTTCATGTCGGTAATATGAGTCCACCTTCCTTAAACTTTTACTCTTTTTAATATTTGCTTTTCTTTATAAGTATGCAACTATTACACTATGATTTGGAGTTAGAATTCAAAATTAGGGTGAAAAGAAAGGAATTCGAAATAAAAGTGGATTGCTTTTTTAAATTTTAGTTTAATGGCTCATTTGGTTGACTATAGATGAAAAGTGATGTGGGAAATTTATCATTAGATCGTTAGAAGAAGAGGATGCTTGAAGGATTTCCAAGATCAAGAGAATAAATCAAGCTCAAAGGCTTCAATTCATATAATATTCATCAATTGCCTTTTTCCTACTACAATAATTATATTTATAAACTAGGGAGAACATTCTAGAATGCATATAACAAACATGTAACAAACTTAGATAAGTTATTCATAAGGGATTATTTAGCTAATGATGTTCCACATCATACTCCCCTAGCATCAAAAGAACTAGACTCCGTCGAGACGTTTCATCGATGGGGAGGTAAGTGTAGAGAACATAAGCAATCCTCCTGGGTCGAAGATTTTGAATACCCACAAAAGATTTTTCAGCAATCATAATAAAGCATGAATACCATAATAAACCATATCCTTGTTGTGCTTACAGAGGATCCCAAGGATCGTGGCAGAATTTTCCTTAGCCTTTGAAGAACCCGTCTTAGAAGATG